TGACTTCGATGAACTGCTGAATGGCAAGGGCTTTTTAATGAAGTTTTCCTCCTCACGGCGGTTTACATTATTTCATTAACTACGGCGATTATGATTCTCTGGGGATACTCTTGTTGACTGATCAATCAAATTAGGATAATTAAGGAAACATAAAAAAGTTATTGTGATCAACTAGTTATTGGTAATTTATATGGCGATTATTAATGGAGACAGAAAGAGTTGAAAATTCTGGCGTTCTTATTATCCTTTTGCTGGTTTTGTAGTGAGTGTGTTTCCACTCAACCTTTTTCACGATGGAATAGCAAGACATTCACGATGGAATAGCAAGACAATTTGAGCATTTCGAGCACTCAAATTTTCGGAAAGTTGACACGGCACTTACCAAGGAATGGTTTCAAGTTTGGAATGCATTCAATTTAGGGCAACTAAATAAGTCTCCCGAAGTTGTTAGAGCTTAAACGTTGCTTCCTCAACGTTCAGAGGGATAGCCCCTACTGAAGTGTCCACTTGCCAGCCTGGCGCGGAGATAGGAATCTTACTGACCGGGCGAATGACATAAGTTTGCTCCTCGTCATCGTCACAGTTTTTGCCAAGCATGCCTTTCATCTAATGATAGCTTTAATAACATTTTTTGTTAATAATCGAGTAAGCACCTTGTTTCGGCTATCATTGACGTTTACGACACTTAGTTGGATGCATCGCTTACTATTGTTTTGGATTCAGATTATGACGAAAAATGAATGACAAAATGGAAAACAGTGCAATAAAGGTGAAGAAACTGCGTGAGTCGGTGTTTCTAAAGTGAAAAAGGTTTCAAAAAATCGTTTGAAACGTGGCTGGACGAGAGTGAAGCCAGAGAAATGAAGAAGAAAGGGGCGTTTGGACGAGCTATACAATGTGTGTCATAGCATACGTGTGGGTCCTGGCGCGGATAGCCGACTGAGGTAAGCAAAAATTCACTAACTGATAAGCAGAAGTAACAAGAAAAAACTAGTAATAGCAAATTAACCCACCTTTTTCAGCTCTTGAGGTAGATAGTTAGTCGGATCGCAGCAGCAAAAAGAAATAAAAGGAATAAAAGAATGGGAGAAAAACATTGCAACACATCGAGCCATCGTTGCAGCAAAAAGAAATAAAAGGAATAAAAGAATGGGAGAAAAACATTGCAATACATCGAGCCATCGTTGCTCCTCGGCCACTTTCCGGAAAAGTCAAGGTTCTCACGGGTACTCATCATTCGCGCAAAGAACATGACCATACCATCGGAGACGGGCTTCGCTCATTCTATCGATCATTATCTTTCTATCGGCTGTCCAACGCAGCATCTTGGTCTCTATTGCAGGGCTCCTTCTTCTTTGGTCGCAGGCCAGCACTCAGCACCGAAGCCGCGACCAACCGGTTGACGGTTCTGTAAATCATGGATTTGAGACGCTCACGCATGTTCTCATCGCCCAGCGTCAGGCCCAGGTTGACAGGCCGGCTGATAGGGAAACCCAGTTACAAAACATGTGTTAGGTCTCAAAAAGTATCAGTGATAAAGCTAGGACGTCACCCGGAAGTGGCGCACAGGACCCCCGCCCGAGTTCTGTGGACAGTATCCGAGGGCTACAGAGGAGTGAACGACCTCGGCCAAAGAACTTAGTTTGAATAGGGACTCTGAACGTGGGTTCACTTACTGGGAAGCCCCGAGAAGTCGCTGAACTTATGAAGTGCAGGAACATCCAAGTCTTATGCCTTCAGGAGAGCCACCGGGATGGAGCAAAGGCTAGAGAAATTGGAGAAGGTGTCAAACTCTTCTACAACGGAGAAGACACCAAACAAAATGGTGTGGGCATAGCAGTGGCAGAACCCCTGAAAGACTCTGTCTCTGCCGTTAACAGGATCAGAAGTCGAATCATGGCCATGAGGATAGACACGAATGAGGGGCACTGGACAATTCTACGAAAAGGATGAGCTCTACCTGAGCCTTGACTTATAATGGCTTATATGCCATAGCTTATCAGCACTCACACGTACAACGTGTTGAGCCAGTCGGCCAATATCAGCACAGAACCGATAAGCTGTAAGTTTTACATGATATAGCTTCTTTTGACTCGATTTTTTTTAACTGCTGTTTCAATATAAGCCATTAAGAAGGCGAGTGCAAGCGGGGTCTCGATAGTGTAAGGGATAAGAGCACGGTCCTCGGAAAGGACAAGTACGGGTTCGAGTCCCGTCCGAGACCTGAGTTTTGCCCACAAGTCGCCAACATTGTGAGACTTTCGCTTCGCGCACTGCGGCGTTAAAACAGCAGTTAACAAAACATCAAGTCAAAGCAATCCGTTCAGTTCCGGAGATGGACTACCTCACCATAGAAGGCGATCTGAATGGTCACGTCGGCAGTGAAAGGAGGGGACTGGAAAGGGTACATGGAGGTAGAGGAGTCAGAAACGAAGAAGGAGACAGGGTCTTCGCCCTGGCCATAGCCCACGACTTAGCAGTCTGCAGCACCTTCTTCGTCAAAAGGAAAAGGTAACCCACAGCAGTGGAGGAAAAGAAACGGAAATAGATCATGTGCTAATAAGAAATCATCCCTCAAAACTGTAAAGGACATCAAGGTACTGCTCGGAGAAGATCTGGCTCCACAGTATAGGCCTCTTCTAGCCTTCCTTCCTCTTCCGGTGGTGGAAGTTGCACCAGTTCGAAAGAAACATCTCAAAAAGAAGTTACTGGAAGCTGGACTCCCAAATCCCTATGGGCCGATTCAGCAGGCCTGGAGCAACGCTGCAAAGGTCATCCTGCGATGTGCAAAGGAAACGCTGGGAAAACTCGAGGTGATTTTCAAGGAGACAAGAAAGCATGGTTCTGGAACGATGAAGTCCAGCGAGTTGTGAGGCAGAAGAAATCGGCCTACGAATGCTGGCGAAAAACACGAGCTCCAGGGGACTTAGCTGCCTATAGAACTTCCGAGAGGCTCGCCAAGGCTGCTGTCACGAAGGCAAAGAAC